GTCCTAAATTGTCCCAAGGAGCTCATTTTGGCAGTGGATTATTTGTGTTTGGCTGGTCAAAAGCTAATAGCAAAAGCTGTCTGCTCTGGCACGCAAGGGCTATGGCAGCATTTAGAATTACATCCCCAGTGTTTTTTCTTGATGAGGTTATTTTTCAGGAGAGCTGTCCCCCACCCCCCCATTTCAAAAGTGACAATGTACAAGTGTCGTGCAGGTGGTTTTCTTGAGCTCATAAATAGCTTCCCATAACATGGTGGCCTGTTTTTCCCCATAACATGTTGGCCAAGGAATATTATGAACAAATGAGAATGAGCACCAGATTTTTTCCAAAACCAAAGCTGTCTGAATGGTGTGTTCACCTCTTCCTATACCAGAGGTAACAATTATTGGTTGACTAGGGCCAAGTAAGAAAGTGGGCTTTTAAATAAAATAAGAGTGATAAATGATTTGTGAAAGATTTTCTGTCAGGGGATGTAGAGTATCGGTACTTGAAGAGTCAATCCTTGCTTATCTACACAACTATAAACACCTATTTTCTGACTCTTCCACTAGCCTGTGAGGGATCCTGGGAAGACACAGCTAAGTTTTGGTTACCTAGATAGTTGGGAAGCTATCTAGCGTAGTGCTGACACACTATAGATGCTCAAATGTTAGTGGAATGCACAGGTTAAAGTTTAACACAGAATTAATTGTTGCTTCATTCATTATATTAGAGGAGCCCAAAACTAAGTATACAAGAAGATCCAAAGGAATGAGGGAAGAAAATATTATAATTTCTATTTATTTTTACCTCATTTGTATATCATTTTACATTATATTTTACATTATTATACATTATACATTATTATTTATCACAGTGTTACACATATAGAATTTCAAGCAGATAACCAAAAATATATTGAGGATGCTTAAAATATTTTTACTGATGGAGGATACAATCAAGATCCTTTCAGTCCTGTTTCACTACATTATTGCACCGTAATCAGTCTCTCATATGTGTCAATGGAATTTAATTTAACTTTTAAAAGCACATGTTGGATACACTATGAATAGATTTTTACCCTTGAAGGAAAGATGGAGGAAAAAGCTAGTGCTAAGATATTTTATCCTGTTTAAGCCTCACACCAACCCTGTAAGATTTCTTCATTTTATAGACGATGAAAAGAATGAGTCAGGAAGTGCTTCCTGTACATCTGTTTTCTGGAATAAATTATACGGAATTGGTATCATTTCTTCCTTTTTTGGTGTAATTCACCAGTGAAATCATCTGGGCCTGGTTTGGAAGGTTACTAATTATTTATTCAATTTTTAAAATAGTTATAGGCGTATTTAGATTATTTCTCCTTGTTTGAGTTTTGATAGATTGTGACTTCCAAGAAATTAGTCCGTTTCACCCAAGTTATCAAATTTATGAACAGAGTTGTTCAAAAAATTCCTTTGTTATCCTTTTAATGTCCATGGGATCAGTGATGGTGCATCTTTCATTTCTGATATTTGTAATGTGTATCTTCTTTCTTTTTTCTTAGTCTGGTTAGGTGTTTATCAATTTTATTGATCTTTTCAAAGAAACAGCTTTTGGTTTTGTTGATTTTTTCTTTTTCCTATTGATTTCCTGTTTTCAGTTTCTACTCTGATTTTATTTTCTTTGGCATATTTTGGACTTAATCTTCTCTTTTTCTAGTTACCTAAAGTGGAAGCTTAGATTAGTGATTGTAGATCTTTCTTCTTTTCTACTTTATGCATTCAATGCTATAAATTTCCCTGTAGGCACTGCTTTTGCTGCATCCCACAAATTTTGCCAAGTTGTATTTTAGTTTTCATTTAGTTCAAAATTTTTTTTCTTGATGCTTCTTCTTTGACTCTGTATTATTTAGTAGGGTATTGTTTAATCTCCAAATATTTCAGGAATTTTAAACTATCTTTTTGTTATTACTTTTTAGTTTAATTCCATTGTGGTCTAAACACATACTTTGTATGATGTCTACTCTTTTGAAGTTGTTAAGGTATACTTTATGGCTCAGAATGTGGCCTATCTTGGTGAATATTCCATGTGAGCTTGAGAAGAGTGTGTGGTTATTGTTGGATGAAGTAGTCTATAAATGTCAATTAGATCCAGTTGAGTGATAGTGCTGTTCAGTTCAATTGTATCCTTACTGACATTCTGCCTGCTAGATCTATCAGTTACTTACAAAGGGGTACTGAAGCCTCCAATTACAAGAGTGAATTTGTCTACCTCTCCTTGCAGTTCTATTAGTTTTTACTTCATGTGTTTTGGTGCTCTGTTGTTAGGTACATACACATTAGGGACAGTTATGTCTTCTTCGAGAATTGACCCCTTTATCATGTAATGCCCATCTTTAGTCCAGATTATTTTCATTACTCTGAAGTCTGTTTTATCTGAAATTAATGTAGCTACTCCAACTTTCTTTTGCTTAATGTTAGATAGTATATCTTTCTCCATGCCTTTACTTTCAATCTGTTTGTGTTTTTTAACTAATCCAAGTCCACTTTCAAATAACACTATATTGTTTCATGGGTAGTTCAACTACCTTATAACAGATTATTCCCAACTCCTCCCTTCCATCCCTTATAATATTGCTGTCATTTATTTACCTTATCCATAAGCTATAATCACTGATTATATTGTTGTTATTATTATTTTGAACAAGACTGTTATCTGTAAGATCAATTAAGATCTTTACCTTCATTTATTTCTTCTCTAATGTTCCTCATTTCATGTAGAGCTGAATTGCTAATGTGTATAAGACAGAGAAAGACAAATGCTACATTGTATCATTTATATGCAGAATCTAAAAATAATACAAACAAATGTATATGCAAAACAGAAACAGACTTACAGATATAGAGAACAAACTACTGGTTACCAAAGGGGAGAGGGAAGAAGGGAGGGGCAAATTAGGGGTATGGGACTAAGAGTTACTAACCACTATGTATAAAATAGATAAACAACAAGGATATATTGTATAGCACAGGGAATTATAGCCATTATCTTACAATAACTTTTAATGGAGTATAGTCTGTAAAAATACTGAATCACTATGCTGTACACCTGAAACTAATATAATATTGCAAATCAACTATACTGCATTTTTTTAAAAGAGGGAAAAATTAGAAATAAATTTTTTTAAATATCCAAAATGATTTATTATAGTAAAATTTTAAAAAGTAGTTTAAAATATCAAAAATTTAAGATCATTTGCACAAAACAAACCTTCTCATTTACTTTTTTGAAACCTAGATTATTGTTATACATATATATTTATAAAACGTAAACCATCCATAGTTCTAGTCTTCAGGGTTCATCAAGTGCCGACATTAAAAAATCACTATCATGCTTCTCACATATGCCTAACTTCATACATTCAAGTTTAAGAGTAATATGAATTACTTACTATTGCAAAATATTCCCGATATGTCATGCGCCACTCTTGCAAACACTATGTTGATTCCTGACCCTTAGAATCACAATTTCAAATAAAAAGAAAGCCAGAATATGGATTTCAGCACCACAAGAAAATAATACTTCATTATGTAAAGTTCTGTTGCATTCATGCTATCCAAAAGGAAGGATTTTATTCGAATTAATTAATTTGTCTTTTAACTAAGAATTTTTGTCACACAAATTCTTTGTGTACTCGAAAGCAGTGTCTGTTACAGCCTCTTGTCCTTCATGTCACCTGGGCTTTGTCACTTTTGTTTCATAAACACAAAGCAACAGATGTGGGGCTTTTCCCTGGGGCCTGAATAGGCTTATTATTAAGCCCTGGGCTTATTCATAAAAGCAGATATTTAGGGTTGGGGCTCTGTTGTACTGGAGTGGAGAGCCAGATCCCTAGTGACAGAGGTTCCTGCATGTTCTTTAATACATTTATTTTCTGTGTGTTTGTAAGGTAGGAGCCCTCTAAAGAGGTTGACCCTGGGTAGAGGGCCTTCCTTCCAAGGTTTTCTTAAGAAAAATTAAATTGTCCAAAATCATTTCCATTGAGGATAAGCCTGCTTTACAAAGGAGAAACATATATTTTTATATAGTCTGACCATTTATTTACAGTATCCACTATCGATTTAGTACTTTACCTCTCTAATGACTTCGCCTGTTTCACACGCATGAAAAGCATTCATTTCTATCCTCAATCACATGCTGCGTCTTTGGTTACTCAACAATAAACGATCTGTCCTTTCTTCCTCTGAACATCTTCAGCATTTGTTTGAATCACTTCTGTGATACTTACCACAGGTGGCCTTCTATTATAATTATTTGGGTATAACCTTTCCTTTTTCATTCATTTAGTCAACACATATTATTTTGCACAAAACAAGGTACCTACCTGTATGAAGCTTACCATCTCATGTGGGACACAAAATAAATATATAGTATCAAAGAATGGTAATTGCTATGAAGAAAATAGAGCCGTTTAAAATGATAGAAAGTTTCAGGGCTATTATTTTATGTGCAGGTAGTGAGAGAGGGTCTCTTTGAACAGGGATGTGATGAAGGGAAGGAATGAACCATGGGAATAGCTGGAGACAAAGCTGTCCAGGTGGAGGCATCTCTAAGTATAAAGGCTGAGAGGCAGAGTGTTCAGTAAGCAGAGGTGTTGCTAGAGACGATTCAATGAGGGGAAATGTAGAAGAAAAATCATGTCAGAAAAGGAGCCAAATGCACCATCATCAAGATCAAGGAGAAACGTAGATTGTGAGCTCTGTGAAGACAGGTGGCTATGTCATTGTGTTGCTCAGAGCTTCTCCAGGCGGCCATCCACAGCTCATAAAAGCTATGTGTTTAAGAAAGTGTCCATATATCTGGCTTTCAACTGATAAAGCTTACCTGCTAATTTTGTTTTATTTGAGGGCATGATGGGAAATTTGAAGTGCAGTTAAATGGTATCCATCTAGCAATTTAATATAATTTAAGTTATAACAAAAATAACATAAGAAATCAGCATGACCTCTTTGGTAATTGTTGATCTCTTTCCTCCTAGGATTTCCAAACTGTATTGCCATCATTTGATCTCTTCTCACAGTACGGAAAATTGTATTCAAAAGCTGGACAAATTGTATAAAGGTATGCATTTTTGCTAAAAGGTACTTCAAAAATGCTATAGTAAATAACAAAAAATCAAATGAGATTGATTTAACTATCAAGCATTTAAAAGAAAAGTGCTATAATAATATTTATATGTAATACAACTCCATATATTTCTTTCTTTCTACTCTAATGGTTTTCAACATTCAAAAATCATGGATTTTGTATTTCAAATCTCTTCTCCAAAACGAACTCAAAGTCGAACTGAAAACTACCTGAAGTACCCTTTCTCTTTAAATTAATTAATACAGTAAATAAATAGTTTTACGTAATATAATGAGAAAGTATTGATGGTGTCCAAAAGCTAAAATATTTCTCATTACTGTATAGATACAGTATAGTTTAAAATACTATATTCAATATGTGTGTTACTTAAAGTGCAAGGTGCCTTTAGTGGATTCCAAATAAATAGCATCTTGGGTCTCTGATGACCAAAGTTTACAGACTAGAGAAGAACAGAAAATTCACACATAAAATTCAAGATCACAAAATAAACTCTCAATGAATGCTGTATTTAATTGCTAAGGTGTTTTAGAGTAGAGAAGTGATTACAATCAAAGGGAGACTAATAGGAGGTATTCTGACATCAGCGAAATTTAAAGGAGATATTGGATGAAGACAGAAAAGATCACTACAGTTGAAGGAAAAGAGGCAGGAATGAGAAATCAGGCTAGTTAATTCCCCAGGCCTCCTCCCACACCAAGAACCAGGGGAAAGCTCTGGTCTGTTGGAAAGAACACAAAGTAGATGCAAGCAACTATGTTCCTTAGATTTAGTTAGTATTGCCTCTCCCACATTTATAACTTTGGATGCTTCAACTGGAAATCAGTATGTTAAATGTAGATAGAAATGACCACCTTTTAACTCCTTCACAGGAATATATGAGGGGAAATATGAAATACTCTGAGTTAATGGAGAAACATACATATAATGCTGAGTGGAATTACAGTTTCAAAGGTTTATAAAATAAGTACCATTACCCATTGGAGCATTTATCTAGTATTTGTGACTCACAGCAGGAAGTAGTCTAAATAAAATTTTTCATATTTGTTTATGATTTCAGATTTTAATTCAAAGATACATCCTGTTCATAATGGCCAAAGGTTGAAAACAACTTGAATACTCATTAGTATATGTTAAGTTAAATAAATGCTAAGACACATGAAATGCAATACTATGAAAACATTAAAAATGTTAACATAGATCTTTATTATTAATTTGAAAAAATGCCTCCAATATATTTCTAAGAAAAGAAAGCTGGATTCAAAGGAAACTATGTAGTCTGATTGCATTAAAAAACATGTATATATGTGCGTGTGTGTATGTGTGTGTGTGTGTGTACACACACATATATATAATGTGTATGTGTGTATAAAAACACACTTGTATGTGCTTATTTATGTATTACATATGTATGTATACATTCATATAAGGCAAAAATGTTACTGGTAGTTATCTCTTGATAGTGAGATTAGGGGTACATTTTGGGGAGATATTTCTTTGTGGTCTCACTTTTTGAAATTTTTATCTAATCAGACAAAAGCAGATTGTTAAACAATAGGAGCTACTTGCTCTTCTCTACCAATTACAGAAACATCTTGACTTTATTCAATTCAATCATAATAATTCAGAGACAATTATCGTTTTTTCTAAAAACATCTTGACTTTATTCAATTCAATCATAATAATTCAGAGACAATTATCTTTTTTTCTGAAGACAAAATAATGACTCGCTAAATTATTTATAAGAAAGACAAGGATGAGTAACAAATGTTTTACGTTACTTTTAATTAAAAAGAGTGCACAATGCACAGATACAAATATGTGAGAGACATTTTTAAAAACTGTTTGCTAACTCTTCTCTTGGATGTTTAACTATTTTGTGAATTGAAAGTATTATCAGAATGTCATCTCGTCCTCTTAGAAAGGAAATTAATATCTAGCATTTAATTTTGGTAAGTGAAGGGTTGCAGCCTTAGCTGATGCTTTCCTATTAAGATTTAATTTCACCAAATACAGCACAGTGCTTCTGCTCTTTGTAAAGAAGGCCGAGACAGGAACACTTGCACCAAAGTGTTTAATAAAGATGCTGTGGTAATTTTTAGAGCTATCTATTTGATTGCTTCATCTTCAAGGTAGTTCATCACTTCGCTATAATTCACCCAACATTGCCTCGTACACCCACACTACACTTGCCCGTCAGTCCAATTAGAAATAGTGATACCTTTATCAGATTAATCTTTCTTTCGTTAGCATGTCTGAGTTTAGGATAATCAGAGCCCACACCTACCCATTTTGATTAATGCACTAAGACTTCAGCCACTGAAATTGCACAGAGTGAATTAGATTTTAAACACACACATATTTTAAAATCTACTCCCTGACTAGGATAATATGATTCCTTTTAATTTCTTTAGTTTTTCTGTACAACTACTCACTTTTGTAACCTTTGATAGTTTCCCAAAGGCACCTTTGTTTAAATCAGTAGATGCTATATCCCGTCAGCTTGCACTGCCATCTTTTCAGCTCCATTCATCTTTCCAGACAGAAGAGTCTCTTTAAAGATTAGAATGGAGAAAAATTAGCACCATAAGATGAAATCATTGGTTAGTCCAACATCAGTGTGAGTTTTCTTGCATTATGTGCTTCTCACTTTTTTCACATTCTTCTTTGAGATGGGCTTTGGCCCAGGCTCTCATTCTGCTAAAAAGTGGTTCAGTTTTGAGGCCATATATGATTAGCTTTAATGGCATTATTTGTTATGCATGAAAAATAACGTACTTGCTTCCCCTCTTCATAGGAATTTGGCATAGGCATGACTCAAGTAGCCGAGAAAAAAAAAAAAAAAAAATGAAAATTAAGTTTGGTTAGTACCTGAATTGGGAAAGGGGTAAAATTCCATTGTCTTTTTCCAGAGGAAATATGGTCTCAGCCGCTGTGTAAAGAAAAGGAAGATATATGAGGGGAGAGTAATAATCAGGCACAGAAGCTACATATGTGCCTGTTAGGGTTACATTTTTAATTCAACAAGAAAAATTACTACACCTTGTTATTCAGTTTGGCACTATGTGAATTTATGGCACTCCGTGGCATGTGGGATCTTCCCGGACCAGGGCACAAACCCGTGTCCCCTGCATTGGCAGGCGGACTCTCAACCACTGCGCCACCAGGGAAGCCCTATCTTTAGTATCTTTATCCTTTGACTAAAGATGATATAACAACCCACTTACCTCTAGGAAGACATTCTGCTGTGTTCCCTTATGACTGAGGCAGGCTGGCTGAACACTCTGTGTGTCTGGTGGCACACACCAGCAATGTTGTTGACCAGGACCTGTAGCAGTGTAGACAGAGATCAGAGAAAAGGGTAATTCCAGCAGGGATAGAGTCAGATCAGGGGTGTAGCATCCTAGACTCTTAACTGAGCTTAACTCTAAGTGAGGAATATTTAGAGAATTTGAGAACTCATGTTATTGGGTTCTTTTTCTCCTTTCATTTTACTGTTTTGATTTTAGAAAATGAGACAAAATGTAAAAATGAGGTTATGGTGTGAAGTGTGTTGAATAGAAGACCCCACTGCCTGGAATCCTGGATTCTACTTTGATGGCTGCTGAACAACCTTGCCACAAGTCTCTCAACATTTGAAGTATTTCCTGTTCTCTCTCTCTCTTTCTCTCTCACTTGTTCTCTCACCCTCCTCCCTTCTCTCTCTATCTCTCTCTCCTCCCCCTCCCCCCATCTGTCCAAAGAAGAAACTGGAACCATTCCTGGTTCATTAAAAACTCTACAGTTCTAAAAGGAAAATACAAATGAGGATCCTACAGAAAACACACTTAAACCATACTTATTATGAATCAATAAACTAATATTTTACAGCTGACTACTCATGAATTAATTACAGTATTAAAAAAAAAACTATATATATATATATATATATATGGTGTGTGTGTGTGAATGAACAGTGGGTCTTTTACCTCTGAGAATGCCTGTCACAGCCATGGCCACTGGTGACCAAAAGTGCCACAGATGGTTCCACTGAAGTGGCCATATTCTGACCCTGTCATCCTAGTCACACCAGTGTTGGGAGCCCAAGTGAAAGGCAGCTAGCATGAAGAATGAGTGATGAATGGTTTGAAGAATGAATGGGGTAAAGTGGTATGGTATGAAAGCTCTGCTCTGAGGGAAACAGTGACTCGTCAGACCAGTTAGAACCCCCTCAGGATCTTGAACTTGAGACACAGAGACACAGACGCTGGTGAGTGTGGCAGCAGAAACACAGACACCCTCAGACGGAAAAGACATTTGCAGGTCTCTACTACAAAGAGGTCATCTGCTTGCAGGGCCTATCCGGCTCATTGTATTCACTTAGTAAGTGGTTTATGATTGAAAAACAAGTGTCTGACTGATTAGATTATGAAATTTTAGAGTATGCCTCCTAGCCCTTTGAGTCTTTAATAACAATTCACAATCTATTAGGTGTTTTGAAGATGCTGGGTGAGTATTTGTTAATTCTGACCTTAGCATGAACTTGTAAGACAATTACTGGAATTAGAAAGAGTCTGAACATTGCCCACTTCAAAGCTACATGACAAGTCGGTGATTCAGTCTGTAACCTTGCCCTTCTCATTATGATAGTCTAAGCTAGATTTTTTTAAACTCTTTTGTATAATGAGGTATTATGTGAGAGGTTATGATTTGTGAAGCTTTATATGAAAAGATTCATTTTTAAAAACATCTTTAATGCTATTTTTTAGAAAACAGTTAACATTCATTCAGAGCATTCTTTCAATAACATTCATTCAATTTGGTGAATATGTTGGGAATTATGGTAAGTATAGGTTTGTAGAAAATTCAAATAAGTAATAAAGACTTTTTCAAAGAATAAGACAACATTTATTGCAAGGAGCAATTTGCTGCCATTTGGGGATAGGAGAATAGAAATAGAATGGGAAAATATTATTGGGTGTTATACAAAATAACAGA